GTTGTAGAGGATTTAATTCTGAACAACCTTTAAATGGGACGAAATCTTGTAGGTATTACGGTCTTTGAGATATGAGCGTTGAGAGATGAACTTTTTTGCGACTTTTTGTGTGGAGAGTATACGAGATACTGGTACTACTGATGTTTATCAGTCAAAATATTAACAGGTTCACATATTTTACGTCACTTAAAAATTAATGTCAACTTAGGTTAAGGCCGGGACCGCACTGAGGTCAATATTGGCGACAGTGCGGTCCCGGTCTTAGCCTATGTTGACATTTGTTAGTGACATGATATATGTCGACCTGTCAAAATTTTGATTGATAAACACCAGTTTTTCATATACTCTCCACACAAAAAGTTGCAAAAAAGTTCATCTTTCAACGCTCATATCTCAAAGACCGTAATACCTACAAGATTTCCTCCCATTTAAAGGTTATTCAGAATTAAATCTTCTACACCATATCAAAAAATTGTCAAATTCCATAGAGCCCAAATATCCCATGTTAGGTGTGCGTTATCCTTTCAATATTTTAGTATTTTTGCCCTAGCTGAAAAACTAGAATAGAAACATATCACTTTCATAACATTACTAAATGCAATATTTCAAAGCGAATCCAACGATATAATACACTACGATATTTTTCTTAATTTTCGTTCAAATATTTTTGTTTTATTATGTAGGTAATTTTATTTGTTCTACTTAAAATTTAATTTCAAAATGAAACTTGGACAAAACTCGATTTAAAAGTGGTACATTAGGACGTAAAACGATCTGTAGAATTCAAAAAACAAAAAATATACAGGGTGTGCCATTTGAAAATCAAAAGTTTCGGTTATTTTCGGTGAAACCGGAAGTCAGGAAAACTTGTCATAAATGCATAAAAATGGCGTTTCGTTAGAATATCAAGTCTACCAAGTTTTGTTGATATCGATAAACAAATAAAAAAATGGCAGCCGGAAAGTCATCTCGTGGGCACCCGGCAAACTAACTCAAATTTACCAAAAAAGTTCTAGGGCCTTTGAATAGACACAATGATTAATTTTTAAACTTTTAATAAAGGTATTTCTTCAACAATAATTGCCACTTTCCAACTTAATTTATTTAGAGAATATTTTCCCGAACGCCAGGCAGGCTCTAAACTGCCAACGTTAGTCCACTTCAATCATAATTCGCCTACGCTGTGCACGAACGAACACGAATGCAGCCGAAGGTCCTATTACGTTGGCAAAAAATGAATATGCCACCCGGTATATCTACGGATGAAGTACCGTCCAAGAGAACTATTTTGTCCATAATATGTCAAATATTTGACTCACTCGGTCTATTGGGACCTTGTGAGTTGTATGACAAATGGTCAAAATTTCTAAATCAACTAACTTCAATAAATGATTTTGAAATCCCCAGGCATGTTTCTGTTTCCACATAATATATAGTTATAGAAATGCATGGATTTTCCGATAGCAGTGAAAAAGCTTTTGGGGCATGCCTTTATGTTAGAGTGTGTTCTTTCATCTGGAGGAATTCATAGTAAACTATTGTGCGCAAAATCGCATGTAGCACCGGTCAAGCAAATTACTTTGCCGCGTTTAGAATTAAATGCTAGCGTTTTATTAGCGAATCTTGCGCATAAGGCTTTTGCTTCACTGAACATTAATTTTCATCAAAAATATTTTTGGTCCGATTCGATGGTTTCACTTCATTGGATTAAGAGTGATTGCTCCAGATGGAAAACATATGTGGCAAACAGGGTTAGCGATATTCAAACTCTAACAGATCCAGATGAGTGGAACTATGTTGAATCTAGTAAAAATCCCGCTGACTTGCTTCCACGAGGCACCACTTTGGAATTTTTAAAATCAAGTAAGCTATAGTGGTGCGGCCCTGAGTGGTTTTTATTTTCTAACGAAACTTGAAATTTAAAATTTGATGTTTCTAGTGATTTGATGAATCTTCCAGAACAAAAATCTGTGAATCTTGTTGTGATTGAGAATGGAAAATCTATATTTGATGAACTGTTGACTCATTTCTCATCTATCAAAAAAATTCAAAGAATTCTTGCTTATGTTTTGAGATTTGTTAAAAATATAAAAAGGGGAGCTAAAACTATGCCAAAATATTCCATTAAAGATGTAAACATCAATGAGTTCAGCGAAAAGGAAGTTCAGCCACTAGATGTTGGTGAATTAGAAACTTCAAGTAACTTACTTATAAGTCAGGTACAGCAGGATTGTTTTAACAAGGAGTATAATTGTTTAAAACGAGGTTCACCTCTAAGTAATAAAAGCTTTTTGTTATGTTTGAATCCATTTTTAAACAATGATTTAATCAGAGTTGGTGGAAGATTAAGGAATCCTGCTTTTAATTTTGACAAGAAACACCCAATATTGTTACCAAAATCCCATCTTTTAACTGAAAGAATCATCAGAGATGCGCATGAACGACTGTTGCATTGTGGATCTCAGTTGCTCCTTTGTTCAGTAAGAGAATTGTATTGACCTATCTCTGGACGAAGTATATGCAAAAAAATCTGTAAAAAATGTGTAGTCTGTTTCAAAACAATGTTCTAGTTCCCCTTACTTAATGAGAGACTTACCCAGCAGTCGAGTAAATTGTCACATGCCTTTTTTGAACGTTGGTGTGGATTATGGGGGACCATTTTGCTCAAAGGATCGTAAGGGACGTGGAGCAGAAATTTTTAAGGCATACATATGCTTGTTTGTATGCATGAGTACAAAGGCTGTACACTTGGAAATATATAGTTTCCGGTTTGACCACAGTCGGTTTCCTTGCAACTTTTAGAAGGTTTATACGCGGAAAACTTGTCAATGTTTTTAGTTACAACGGATCTAATTTTTTAGGGGCAAACAATGAATTGTCTGAAATATATAAATTTTTGCGTAGCAATGAGCAATATGTATATGACAATCTGGCTACTGAGCGTATTTGCTGGCATTTTATTCCTGCTAGATCTCCTAGTTTTGGTGGTATCTGGGAAACGGGTATCAAAAGCGTAAAATATCATCTTAAGAGAATTTTATCTAACACAGCATATACTTTTGAAGAGTTCTCGACCATAATTTGTCAAATTGAAGCAATCCTAAACCGCCGTCCCTTGTCACCCCTATCCTCGGATCCTGAGGATCTATCGGCATTGACACCAGCCCATTTCCTAATGGGGCGTAATTTAACGTCTGTACCAGAACATAACCTACTTGATGTTCCCGTAAATCGCCTAGATTTATACCAGAAGTTGCAAATTGCCACACAACATTTTTGGAGAAGGTGGCAAAAAGAATATGTTGGAGATCTTCAAACCCGTCACAAGTGGAAACAAAATGCCAATCAACTTATCAAGGTGGATTCGCTAGTGTTGGTGAAGGAAGAAAATCTGCCCACTCTAAGTTGGAAATTAGGTCGTGTGACTAAACTTATGCCAGGAAGTGACGGAAATGTGCGGGTTGTGGACATTAAAACCGATAAGGGAACAATAAGACGCAACACATTCAAAAGATAACCACCAAAAGCAAGATGAAGTTGATGATACTTTTTAGAGCGATTGGGAAAACATGGGGACTAAAACCATCAGTTGTACACTGGATATAGACTACGGTTGTAAGACCAGGGGCCTTATTCTGTAAAAACGAACCGTTCGATTCGGTAGAATTTCTTCGATTGTGACGTCATTTTTGGTTTGGTTTTCGCGCTACCAAACCGAAAATGACGTCACAATCGAAGAAATTCTACCGAATCGAACGGTTCGTTCCTTACAGAATAAGGCCCCAGGGGGCGGATTACGAACTCTCGATTCGAACCGAAACCGCCATGGATTTCGAACCCATTCTGATGCAGTCGCATGGAGCGCGTTCGAAATCCATGGCGGTTGCGGTTCGAATCGAGAGTTCGTAATCCGCCCCCTGATTACATATGGTGCACTGGTATGGTGGCATAAAGTAAACCAAAGACAAGCAAATCTGGAGGCCAAAATTCAGAGACTTGCATGCCTTTGTATCATCGGTGCAAAGAAAGGCACACCGATGGCAAGTATGGAAACGATCCTAAACCTCTCACCAATTGACCTTATCGTCAAAGCGAAGGCTAGAATCGGGGCAAATCGTCTCCAACTAAATGAATACTGGAACCCAAAACCAAATGGACATGCGGCAATCGCCTAAATAATAACAAACCCGATTTTAATCATGGGAAGCGACTATATGATGCCGAAAAAATCCCTCGAAAAACCTTCAGCCCTCGAGATTCTTCAGTAGGAAATACCGGGGTAACACCTAAACAAGAAGTTGTCTGGTTTACTGACGGCTCCAAAACAGGAACTGGAATCGGCGCTGGAATATATGGACAAACTCTCAGATGCGACATCAGTCAACCTCTGGGAGAATACACCACTCTATTCCAAGCAGAAATATATGCCATCGACTCCTGTCTGAGAGAAAACCTAAGAAGGGGGGGGGGGGGGGGGGGGGGTACACAAGTAAAAATATCCTTATCTGCTGAGATAGTCAAGCGTCGATTAATACACTCAACAGTCGCCGAAATCAAACGCATATTTGTCTGGGAAAACTTAAGTATTACATGATCTAGAGATTTTCTTGATTGAATGTTTTTGTATATAAAAGGGGGTAGTTTGTAAGTCACGGCATCTTTATTAGAAGAATTTTTCTATAAAGTAAAGTAAAAGCGATAAGTGACTGTTGAATTTTGTAAAGTCGGTAGGTTCATTAAGAGTTGCAAAATGGTAATATCATAGGCTTTCTGGTTAATATTCTCTATCCTTGATCCGAGCACAATAGATAGGTAGCCAATAGTACAAATTGAAGACAATTATTGCTAGGGCCACAACGACCTCTATCTATGCTTTTTCCCTGTAGTTAATTATCCAACTTTTCACTACCTGATATAGTACAACTTTTCTGTAACTGCCACCATAAACCTAACATCTGAAGCTAAAGAGTATGAAAATTTAGTAATTTTTTTTTTTATAGAAACAACACTTTTTCAACCGTATCCTTTATATGAACCGTGACAACTGCCAGACAGCGATTGAAGACATCCATCAATTATGTAGAGACGACGAGGACCGTTTAGAAATCGACTTAATTTTAATCAAAGCATTTATAAAATATGACAAAGTCGACGAGGCAATGGAGTTTTTCCAGAAACGCCCACTCAAAGACTTATTAACTTTGGGCAGTCAACTTATGGAATATATTTACAATATGGGGCAAATGAAAAATTTGAGTGATAAATATCGAAACCTTTATCAATCGGTTTTAAAGCCTCTATGGGGAATCATTAGTACGTGTGGTGCAGAAGAAGGACAAACTTATAAAGACGTGGTGTTTTATTATGAACTAGCGAATGCCATCTATGGGATTAAGAGCGAATTTGAAGTGCAGGTGGATACGTTAACGTTGAGGTGGCCTAGTAAGAAAGAGGAAGCTTTACAGGAAATATTACTAAAAATAAATGAAACTATTATAAATAATGGTAAGTACATACATCGAGCATTTCTAAGGTCAGAAAATAATATTGCCTTATTTTAGATCATCCCAGTTTTGATGCAACTGTGCACAAATGCAAAAAATTAGCGTCCTATTTTGGACTCTCATTAGAAAATATTTTTCTTCGTTTCATGAAATATGGAGACAACTTTGAGACTTTTTTAAATATAGGCAAATATTTATTGGACACTTCCACATCTTCGGAAACTTTGACTTTATGTGCAGTCTATTTTTTCCGTTACACCAAAGACAATTTAGAAAATGTCGGCGATGAGACTTTTTTGGATGTTGTAGTAAGTTCCAGCCAAATTTTATAAACAATATCGAAATCTTATAATGTTACTTAGGCCTCTACCAATCGAAGTAACTCAGATGACACCAACGATCTAGAAGCCATTAAGCTAGCGCGAAAACTGTGCGTCAAAGCTCTGATGTTCGCTCAAGAGGATCAAATGCCCATTTTAGAAGTGCTCGGTTGGATTGATTCTTGTTATTATCTGAGCATTATGCATAAAAAACTAGAATTCCAAGGGGATATTCATCAAAACTACACTCCAATGGGCTCGCCTTACTATTCTGGAATGGCTGTTGATACTATTAAGAGTATATTTAATGTTTATTGTGCTTTTGTTGGTAAGTTGAATATTTTCACAGAAGGACATTTAACCTAAATTCAATTTTTTTTTTAGAAACCCTTAAGACCCCTGGCTCCCAATATTTAATATACTTTAGCTGTAACAGGGATGTTTCTCAGGTATATAACCCTTATAAATTTATTCATAAAAAATCTAGACTTTTTTTTTAAATTTAGATCGACTTCCAAACTGAATTTTACCAATTTATTTCACAATTACGTGTCCTACTTAAACAAGACCTACATTTAACCGCCCTTAACATGGTAACCGTGTTGTTACGCAGCTCCCTAATCTATCCAGCTTTACGGGAGCATGTCAAACCATTGAAAGATGAATTCCTACATAAAATCATACCAGAAACGATTAATGCCGTAATGTCGCAAAAATGCATCGACAAAGCCATGTTTCTGAATCTTACCCTTTATTTTGATGAAAAAACGTACGATCAACATTTGACAGAGTATTTGAAGCTTTATAAAAAACAACCCAAGAAACTGAATGTTATAACTCAAGTTGGCTTGAACTTGTTGGCTCATCATAGGGTTAAGCGAGGCAGAGATGAATTATTGAACATTTTAAACATGTGTAAATGGTGGTTTAGGATCGACGATCCAAAATTAAAATACGAATGGTACTTTTCCTGTAGTCCCGCTAGGAGGCTTGAAGTTTTACTTATAGAAAACAAATTAACTTTGGAAAGTTTACCAGAGTATTGTCAGGATTTCACTTTAAATTTGCAACAATGCTATTTGAAATATTTGGAAATCACTTTGTTGAACTGGCAGCCGGATGTGGAATACACGACAGAGGTTAGCGGCAGAAAGAGTATAAAAATCAAAAATTCCGAAAGTGAATTGTTGGGCAAGTGTTCAGATATATTGAAGTATATTACCGATAAAAAAGAGGTGTTTGATTTGACCGAAAGGATTTGGCCTATGGTAAGGATTTATTTGATTTTATTTACATACATGGCATGTTATTGTGTGTAATCTCAATAGTTCTTATATTGTGGGCAAATTAAATTTTAAGTCAATTTTCATCTATATTTCAGATAAATTTCTACTACTATGAAGTCTACTTAGCCCTCCTAATAGTCCATATGAAAGTGGCTACATCAGGATCCACAATACCAACAATTTACAAACCATTACTCCAATTTTTGAAAAATTATAAACGTGTCGGAACTCCAACTCGTTCGGAAATGGAACAATGGCATGGTACGTTTGTCTCAAAGGCGCGCATCGAACCTCTATCCGAATTTCGCTTGCCGTTAACAAGCACTTTCTTATCTGCCGGCATTTGGAATATCATCAAACAAGAGGTAAACTTGGACACCTACAAGCAATGGTTCAAAGTTACCTCGATTCTAAAAGAATTTATCAATCAACAAGATATTTGCACCTACGCTATATCCAGTCCCATTTCAAATAAACTCATTGACAGCATTTCGAATAGTAATGGCTGGGAATTGAATTTAAAGTACGACTATTTGTGGCCCAAAGTTGACGAGTGCGCCATGAATATAAGCGATTTGGAACGGGCCACGGCGGCAGTTTACGCGTTAATGGGCGGCATGCCAGATGGAGCAGATAAGGTTGTAATGGCACAATTGAGTTATAAGTATGCCAAGTTGTATCGAGAAGCTAATCCTGACAATGCAGAAGTTGAGAAAGTTTATGCTAAGGTAAGAATTTAGTCATTTATAGAATTTCGAAGTTGTACCAGCAAATAAGTGAGTACAATGCATAATTGTAAAAAAATGAAGGGTTTACACTTCTAGCTTTAACAAAAATTATTAATAATATATGTTAAGAATAAGTAAAGGCCGGTTTAGCCAGCTTATAGCGTATAATGCACAATTTATAAGTGCCCAAATACCTGGAAAAAAACGGCTTCATTTTCCAAATCCAGGTTACTACTCCTCTTTACCTTTACCTGCTCTAAGAGTTAAAATGACAAATTTTGCCAATTGTGACCGACGCATGCGCACAGGGGCTACGAATAAAACTGAAATTTTAAAATTCAGCATCAAGAATTAAGAATTTAAATATAGCTATTAGCTGGCTTAATAAGCCTTGAGTAGTTTAAACCGATGAAACTATCGGAAGTAAATTCTTAATGTGTTATTTGAGTGATTATGAGTTTCTAGATAAGATTTCCAGTAATTCACGGTCAAAATTATTTTTGAAAAGGATTCAAATTTCTAGCACTAATACGTTCTTCTTACAACGCTTTTCACGGATATTCTATTCGGTGAGTTGTGAAATATTCACTTGGGAGCTTAGATGTTATCTCTGTTTCTAACTTAAGATAATGTCCATACTATTAAATAATCTCTAGCCTCCTGATCTTTAATGTTTTTAAACCAAAGTAATTTGCAAGTCGAGTGTGGTTCCCCAAACAGTGTATTTTGGCACTGCCTATAATTTCCAGTACTGTTTGTGCCCGAGCCTAGGGTGGAAATGTCCATATTTTCACAAAAACCCTTTTTTCGATGAATCGCAATTATTAATTTTACCCCCTTAAACCACCCTCAAAGTAATTTGCAAGTCAATTGAGGTTCCCCAAACGGTGTATTTTGGCACTGCCTATAATTTCCAGTACTGTTTGTGCCCGAGACTAGGGTGGAATTGTCCATATTTTCACAAAAACCTTTTTTTCGATGAATCGCAATTATTAGTTTCACCCCTTTAAACCACCCTCAAAGTAATTTGCAAGTCGAGTGTGGTTCCCCAAACAGTGTATTTTGGTACTGCCTATAATTTCCAGTACTGTTTATGCCCGAAACTAGGGTGGAAATGTAAAGAGAATGGTATATTTGAAGAAATTTGATAATGATTGGAGATTTTTTGACACACGCAGAACTAACTTTGACAATACAACAACACCTTTTTTATTGTTAAAAAACAGGTTAACAATGAATAGGCAAAATTAATAAATTAATTAAATATTTATATTATATATTTAGGGAATTTTTTCCAATTTTAATTGAGAAACGGTTAGATGTATTTCAGAAATCGTCAAAAGTAATTGAGAATAGTCAAATGTAATTGAGAATGCGTTAATTCTTTTCGACGATGGGCAAATGTAATTGAAAAAAGATTAAATGTAATTATTCAGAAAGCATCAAATACCATTCAGAATAGGTAAAATAAAGTTGAGATCATGAAAATTCGAAAATTTTATATACAAGGTGCCACAAATTCGTGAAAATTTATGGGATATCGGATATGGATTGCTTAATTATTTTCCACAGTTTCGTAACGTTTTCTCAATTACATATGATTATTAACAATCATAATTAACGCATTCTGAATAACATTTAACTATTCTCAATAACTTTTGACGATTTTAGAAATACATCTAACCGTTTCTCAATTAAAATTGGAAAAAATTCCCTAAATATTCAGATATCATATAAGTTGCAGAAGATCTTTTTACAGCAAAAATAATGTTGATAAGTAGTGAAATAATTACCCAAACATAATCAAAGTATTTCCATGAAGCAGTAGCGGTCGTAGTGATAAGGAGAAGTTTAATATAGAAGCTGACTGCTTGATTTGTGGTAAAAGCGGCACCAATAAAAAGAAAAACTTAATATCTATTAGTACAGGTATAGGGAGTAGTGCCCTGTTTTCTAATACAAGGACCACAAGGTGATTCCGCCGAAAATGTTTTGCAACATAAAACACAATTATCCATGACGTCAATGTTAGTCCGTCTAAAAAATGAAAAAAATTACGTGAAGCGTAAAAGAGAAATCTGTAAAATATAACAATTAATTGGGCAAGTGGTAGATGCTCGCTTAGACCAATCACACTTGAAATTACGGGATAATAGATACCGATAACCTATTATCGGCTCACTGAACAACCACCTTCCTATTTAATTAATTTTTTCTACAAACGTGTTAAAAATGCAATTTTTAACACCGCCCCGAAGCATTAAAAATGCTACTTTATCGCACTAGTGCCATAAAGTCTTTATAGCACTAGTGTTAAAAGTGAAACATCAAATTTTGAGAGCGGACGTCAAAAAAAGTTTGTATTTTCAGTTATTTACATTGATATTAATGGTGAAATTTGAACAACTGAGGTAGCCCGATTGGCCGCCTCATCTATATTTTTCGAAGGATCGATGCAACCCTCTTTTTCTTCTGTATTTTGTTGCATTTTTAGCAAAAAGCATTCCTGACCACGACAGACTTTCAAGAAACTGAAAAGACATTTCGTTACCTGTAAAACAAGGTGCTGGTTGTATGGATTTTTTGACAATTGTCAAATTCGAGAATTTTATGTAGGAAAGATGCTTCCAATTTATAATTCATTTAAAAATCCAATTTGTTACTGGTTATTGCTTTTTATTACGGTTTGTAGAAAAAATATTGTATGATATTTGTGTTAAAAGTATTTTTAAGGCACTTCTGTGAATTGCAGAATTCGCTTCGCTCATTCTGCAAACTTTCACATGCGTGCCTTAAAAATGTACTTTTAACACTTATATCATAAATAACTATTTAAAGTTTTGACGTCTACTCGTTCTCTTTTTTAACTTAATTGCATTCGTACTTACAAGTTTCCTAAAAATTATGGATATTTTCCAGTTAACATTTTGTGTTACTAATTACTGATAATATCATCTTACCTGTGCAATAAATAACTCCTGATGCAAGCAGAACCCGATAAACTAGACTTTTTAAAATAGAACACAAAGTTCCATAAACAAGCAAAATTGACTGTCATATCATTGCATGCAGTCTACGGCATCACACGTAGTTTTTTAATTCATGCCTGTGGTTGTCAGCCGGTAGCGGGAATGAGGGGGGAGCCACACAACTTCTGCCGCCAGACCGCGCTTTGTTGTGTTAAAACGGCTCTAGTTAGTTTATTATTGAAAATAGGTCGGTAAATAATTGAGACGAAAGAAAGCCAATTAAATTTGCCAGTTTTTGAGCGAAAAATTAAGTTAATACTCCAATATACAGTGTCCGCGGAAAAGTCTGCACCATATGGGAAATTTTTTTATGCTCATCCTTACTTCAAATAGGTTTTCGGCATTAGGTTCTGCATGACTGAAAACCAAAAAAACACCTAAAATTTCGACTCGAGACTTGCCTCACACCTGTCAAATGCCATTTGAAAATTTCAAACAAGGAAAAGTGGCATTTTTATAAAAAATATGAAAAAATTTTATAAGAAAATATTGTTCCAAATGACATTTTTAGTCTAATTTGATATTTTTAAATTTTTTTCGAATATCTACGGAAAAATAATATTTTCAGGATTTCTTTCGCGACCATTCCTCTAAAATAATTAGTTTGTATCTGACTAATGGTTTTTTAAATCTTAATAATCTAATTAAGAGTTTTTAAACATCAAAAATAAATATTTCTATTAAAATTTTGATACGCCTCTGGACTATTTTGAAAATTTTAGATATCTCAAATTGTTTGCTTATAAACTACTCCTAAATGTCATTTGGAACAATATTTTCTTATAAAATTTTTTCATATTTTTTATTAAAATGCCACTTTTCCTTGTTTGAAATTTTCAAATGGTATTTGAGGCAAGACTCGAGTCAAAAATTTTAGGTATTTTTTTGGTTTTCAGTCATGCAGAACCTAATACCGAAAACCGATTTGAAGTAAGGATGAGCATAAAAAAATTTCCCATATGGTGCAGACTTTTCCGCGGGCACTGTATAAAGGAGTTATCGCAGGTTAAAGCAAACATATATTTTACTCATTCGCGCCGTGCCTACGAAATAACTGATTTTTTGAGCTCTACTTTAATATTTTTCGAACAACATATACACCATGTTAAAGAGAATATATTTGTCTAGAATCTAGAGCAAAAATCATTTTATTACCTCAAGCGGTTTAGAAGTTATACGTGGTTAAAGTTGGAAATTTTAGTTTAAATTTTAGTTTCCGTATATTTTTAGTTTTTTGTTCCTAACTTAGCTCTCGACCAATGAAAAAAGTCGTCCATTTTCATTTCATATGCAGAAAAATATGCTGAATCATCTGGTACTAGTCTTAATAAATTATACCTCAATACCAGGTTGCTCCTTGAAACGAAGGCTTTTGCGCGCTTGGCCGCCGTCCTATCAGACTGGTATATCAAGCAGTCACTCGCCGTCGACAGCGCCGGGTAAATACGACGGTGGCGGTGAGACGTGCTAAAGAAACCATACTCATTGAATCAAATGAATAGCAGTGGGCACCGTCAACGGCGACCGTCGACGGCGGCGTTCCACGGCTCCAGCGAAAACGTACCTTAAGGCAACTCCACGCAATTTTAACCCACGCTCAAGACTGTAAACTTTTCGTCATTTAGTTTCATTCTCTATTTGTTGCACCACAGATCTATTTTTTTGATATCCTCTTGACGATTTTACATTTGCTGCTAGGTCACTAATGTGAAACAGGAACAAGTGGTTCTAGGACTGAACCTTAAGCAACTTCACTCAACACCGTGTGAAACGACGACAGTGCGCCATTTGTTGTTCGTTGTTTCTGCAGTCGGGCTTCTTGTGTGGTCTTTCAACATACTCCCGCCCAAGTCCGGCGAAACTGACTATTAAAAAACTAATTAAAAAACTTTGGTTTTTTTTACTTATATCCTAAGGGTTTTTTTTAATTTCCCTCGTACATCTTCTTGTCGGTTGGATGGTATCAGTAGGTTTAAAAAATTTATTAATTTCTTGAGATTGTTGTTCTCTTCGTCGGTATTCTGATTTTTCTTCCTATTCAAGGTTTGGGGTGTCAAATCATGAATAGATCTTTGGGGGCATAACAATCTCGTTTTAATCTGGATTTTTTCTGAGGTTTCAGGTGTTAAACATTCAGTCTATTCTTCATCTCCGCCAATTTCAAGTCTTTGTATGCGTTGTATTGGTCTTATGAGAGTTCTAGTAGACGTTTTTACTTTCACAACTCTAATCACTTGATCTTATCCTGGGTAAACTTCTATAATTTTTCCCATAGGCCACATTGTTCTCTTCATATTTTCGGCTTGAATTAAGACAACTTTAATTTTTGTTTATTTTCCCTTTTTAGACTGCACCAATGTAGCTAGATATTCATTTCTGAATCGTTTTCTAAATGCATCTCTAATATTTTGAAGGTAATTTAAGCGTTTCTTTAAACTTATTCTCTCAATTTGATCTAAATCTTTTATCTCACTGCTGACTTTTTTTTTGAAGAGTTTCAAAAATGAGTCTGGTGCTATCAGTCCAGGCGGCACTGAAATTTTTTAGCACTTATTTTCCCAGTTGGTGTATATTAAATAGTTTGTTCTCTTGGTGCTACATAACAAGAATTTTTGAGCTTAGCAAAAATTTTCGAATGGGTTCACAAGATTAATGAAAAATACAAGTACACTTATTTTCCCAGTCATAAATATTTCACATTTACTACGATAGAACATAAAGTATATGAAAATAGCAATTTGGCTTATCTCAGATATTGGAAAGTGAGTCTGGCTGAAAATTTTCGAATCTTCAATTTTCCACTTGCCAGACGTACTCACAGATTAGCCGCACTATTTTTTTACGTAACTTCAGTGGACTTCTCATTAGTAGACCTATTTTTATCACTGAAAAAAAAAAGGGCCGCGCATTCGTAAGCTCTAACGCATTTTGCTCCTCAACACATCGGAAAACCCCCCTAAAAATATAGGAATTTTGCTTAGAATTACTAACCTTACAATTCTATCCATGTTATCTGACTGGGAAAATAAGTGCGGAAAATCGTCACTGCCTCCTAGACTATATTGGTGTCAAATCTCCATTTTCATTATAAGTAAGAGGCCGAGCATTTACCACAGCTTCACAACTACATAAAACTGTATATAGTTCATTAATCATTATAAGCAAGACATCTTTCTCCCAAATTTCTAATAAGCAACTCTTTAATTATACGTACTACTTCCACCATCAGCCTCAGCAAGCGGCTGTAGGTGGAATGAAATTCCATGTTATTCTTGACACTAAATAGAATTTTTGTATCTCGTTCCAATCTATTTGTTTAAAAAGATTTTCAGTTCCATGAAAGTTAAGTTACCTCCATTATCAGAATAAATAACAGATACTCTCCTCTTCTGGCAATAAATCTTCTGAAAGAAAAAATGAATTATACTGTTGAAATGGCTTTAACTAATTCAAAATGACATGTTCGATAGAATGCGCAAGTAAATATTACTATATAAACTTTATCATTGTTCTTAAGATATAACGGACCAGCAATTTCAATTCCGGTAATTTCGAATACTCCAACATCATTCACTCTGTCCTTAGGTAATGCGGAGAAATGGGCTGTTTAGCATTTACTTTCTGTTTGTTGCAGAGTCTGTATTCCAGTATGACAAAACAATCTATGTTTCCCTTCAATTAATCTTCTAACGATTTTACGATTATATGGTAGCAAAATTGGATACTTAAAACATTCCAAATCATCTCTATTAATAATGCGAGTTTTTACTCACCACACCCTTACCATCTCTAAAACTCCTTGTACAATTTTGATCAAGCAATTCTCTGCTTTTTCAATTTCTTCGCTCAACAGCTCTTTGGTAAACGTAATATTTTCTTGAGATACTTTTGCATAAAATCTATACATCCAAGCAACCATACGAACAATTTTAGTATACTTAGGCCCGGTTTATTCATCTTCAGATAAACTTGCTGATAACTATCTGCAAAATAAATTTACCATTCCATACTCCTATTGGTCAAGGCTTACTGGTTGACCAATGGGATTACCAATTGCGTTTTATCCGTCAGATTGGATTACCTGATGGTTTATCAGAGGGCGAATAAACCGGCCCTTAGAAAACTAAAGCAAGTTCTCAGAGGTAGCGTTTTTATATACAATCAGATTTGTTTTTACCGCTGTTTTCTTTTGTTCTATATAGGCTACTTCTTCATTATAAGCAATTGATGTTATCGGCCGATATTTTATATTCGGAACCTTCCCACCAACGATTTTCAATCAACTGTTTGGTACTACAATCTCTTGATGGAAAATCTGCTGCATTCGAAATACCTGGGACATGATTCTACTTGCTCAAATCAGTATACTTCCGAATTTCCTCAACTCTATTGTTTACGAAAGTGTTCCAATTTGTCTTAATCCAAGTAAAAGCAACCTCAGAGTCACTTCAAAAATAAGCGTCAAAGCTTTGTAAACACTGTATTTTTTGAACTGACCTATATAGTCTATACTCTATAAGCTATCAAGGCTGACGATAACTCAAGACGTGGTAAAGTAATTTTTCGTATAGGCGTGATTCTCGACTTGGAAAGTAACAAATTGACGTAAATCTCTCCATTTATTTCAACTCTTAGAAAAATACAAGCTGAGTTTTACTAGCATCACAGAAAATATGTACGGACACATGATCGCAATTTTTCAAAGGAGTAGTCTTACAAAAAATTCTTGGAATCTGACAATGCTCAAGAGGACGTAGGTATTTGTTCAAGCCAAACTTTGAATTTATCCAAAATATCTGATGGTTACGGACTTAGTTACGGATCACCTCACTTGATTTTTGTTTTCCATGTTTCTTGTAGAAGAATCTTTGGTCAGAGTGTTACTGGACTAGTGAAACCTATTGGATCAAATACACGTTGCGCAGCAGACAAAATGCCTCTTTTTGTGAATGGAATCTTTGATATTTGTTCTAGAAATGAGGCATCACAACAGAGTACATCTTGTTCAAAATTCCATACCAATCCAAGAACTGATACTGAACTTCCTTTACAAGAAATCTCACTTTCGTTTTCTTAAAAGAACCTTTCGGCATTATATATCCATCCTCTCAAATCAAATCCACCTGAAGACAAACATGTTCTAAACTCATTTACAAATGCTTTCAACTCTTGCATACTACTCGTTACACAATTATCCACGTGAAATAACTCTTTTAGCAAATGATATATAATAGTAGCTCCGAGCAAAAATGGACTTGAGGAAACTTCAAAAACCACCCTTGTATGCTATAGATTTTGATTTCATTCATAGAAGCATCTTTTCACCATGAAAATCTTAATACATCTCTGACTTTTTCTGCTATACCAATCATAAGTAAAGCAATCAACGGTAAAGATTTTTCAATATCGGAAATTATACCTATTATCCATTCACAATCCGATGTCCACAGGTACAGGTAAAATGTATCACCTTTCAATACTATTTGATAGGGAAAGGTGATAAATTTAGCTGTACTTGTGGATATCGGATTGTGAATAGGATATCAAACCTAATCTTAATTAAACTAAAGTCTCAGGTATCAACTCAATTAGATTAGGTCCCTTTTCTAAACTATTTTTTAGTTAATTCCGTTACGATCTTTAGCCGAAGCATCAAATACCGGTCTCAGTTTTGTAGTATCACTAGATTCTTTAATGACGGCGTGATGAGGAATATAGTGAACTGTATTTTCTGAGCTTAGGTTTTTCACTTCCTCAATAATACCTAAATTTTCCCACTTAGGAATACTTTATCATAACTATCAAATTTATTTAAGTTTTCAAGTTTTTTTGTAGTTGAAAATATTCTACATTCCGCTTGTTGTCGGTTATCATCTAGTCGTTAAAAACTAAAACATGCTGTGCTAAAACTATAACAACCATTGTTGTATTCGTCGGACTTTGATGTGGTCTTTCAACACTATTAACTTTCACCTGATATTTTCTGTTCACTAGGAAATTGCGAAGGAAAGCAAGTGAATGATCCCAGATACCGAAAGATTCAATTTTTGAAAGAGCAACTGGTGTGGTTCCTTATCAGAGGTCTTCTCAAAATCCAAATAGATCACATCTACTTATCTGCCCTGATAAAAACTGTTAGTCCAGAGAAGTCCAAGCAAGATATTAAGTTGGCATCATTATGTTTATCAATAGAAAGCTATCAATGTAGGCATCATCGAACCTAGGTTGCTGTACCAAAAGGAGATATTTATATTTATTGGTTAATGAGTATTTAGTTTTTTGGGACTAAATTGGTAAAATATCTAATTTCAAGGTTTTTCTCACCATTATCTATGCGTCGTTTAAGTTTTGGTACAACTTCTTTTAGGTATTCTTGCTGCTTGACTGGTAAATCACCTTTTATATAAATGCTCCGAGAGGCGTCTAGTTTACTTCTTTAAGGAGTTTCAGACGCTTTTGAGTCAAGTTAGCGACAAAAAATGGAACTATAATCTGGGACAAACTAAAAGCTCTTTTTCAGCTTTGCCCCATTTATTATTACATTACTTTAGTCAAATTAAAGACTAAAATCGCTACGAAAAAAAATACTATAGCTCTGTTCCAACCGACATGAAAACCGTTCCAGAACCAGTAATTTCCAGTTGCCCACTTATTTTTCAATAAGTTGAGCGTTTATTCTCATTGACAAATGAATTTATCGTCTGGGAATTACCGTTCTAGAACGTTTCTCATGTCGATGTCGGTTGGAACAGAGCTTATATTTCTCAGTTGTTGTTGCTGATAAAAATTCTCACTTAAAATTGTCCTAGAGAACTTTATTGCTCTGGTTCCAATTTCTTGTTTGTGTTTTAGGTAAAACAGCGATATTTAAATTATTCCGCCATCCACATCCTGCACAAATACCAACTAGTTAAAGAAAACTATCTGGAACAAGTGGCCCAACCCACAGATTTAATATGGGAATTGTATAACGATTCAAGAATCGAACTATTTTTCGATAATTTAATCGCAGATTGTCCCGATATTAATAAAGCCGTCGAAGAACTGTGCAGTTTGTTTGGACTCAACATCAAACGGGAACTTTGCAATGTTTTACTGAAACTTTTGGCAGTTCCATCGCCCTTGGAGCTGGATTGTAGACGATTGTTCCCAGGCAGTGAAACGTTGCATTTGAAACGTGTTTGTTATTTATGTAAAACTCAACATTTAAAACATTGGCAAAAGTGGCTTTATGAGTTAGGTATAAGAAATCCTTCAGAAAAAGATATGTCTGTAAAAGCGAACGCTTGGAGATGTGTGTATTATATTAGCGATATAGATACTATTGAGGAGATTTTTAAGTTGGATCATGACAATGTTGTGTAAGTACCTAACTAGTTTATTGTAATGCTTTTTTGACGACTAGTGCATATTCTATGCACTGTTTGATAGTCATAATTTCATTATGAACGTTTGTTGCAGAGTTTATTTAAATAAAATGTCAGTGATAGCCAAAATGTGTGATTTAGGCCTCAAATTTGAAGGCGTTGCTGAACTGGACGAAGGAAATAAAAAGAGACTATTGAAAAATTTGGCAAAAGTAAATACTATTGCTGCCATAAAATGTATAGCAAGTCTTTGCAAAATATACGGTTTCAACGATTTAAAATATTGGGAGTACATTGTCAATTCTGCTGTACAATTTCGTATGGTAAGGACCAAGTTTTGAATAATTTTGAATTGTATTAAATTGACCAATTTAGATCAAAGAATTACAAGACTATTTGGAGTTTCTAAAAAGCAGATGCGTCAGCGATTGTATCAAACAGGCCTGGCAAGTCATTTTGTTTGATTTAATTAGCAATTTGAGTAACGATCCTGCCCAGAAAGTGTCGAATATTCGAGAATGTGATGTATTTTTGCTGTTGAAGGTAAAAAAATAATTCCAAAATGTTCAGACTCGGGTTTTTAATTTGTTCTAAATTTTTTAGACTTGTCCAGTTATTTACGAACTTGATGTGGAGCCTTATATACAAGAATGTCTGCTGAAAGGCAGGGAGGACGTTGCGAAGGTTTTACGACAATATAGGAAATTGTGAAGCTTCTGTGATTTTTGAGGTTTTTTTTTTGTATTTGATGCCTGTTTTTTTTTTTTTTTTTAGTTTGCACAATTTCTATTTAAACTTTTGTTCATACTTTTATAGGCTATAAAGAACGATCTCCGCACCAATGATGGTGCAATATTTAACTGTTCATTAAGATATATTTTTTGTCAAAACATAATTTGTATTTCTTGTCCCAATTACGATCCTTTCAAGGAGGCTGGAGTATATTGAGTCGTTGGAGAGAGCCTGAAATTAGAACATTGATCTAGGCGACTGCAAAAAAAGTTAGCTGGCAACTTAAAAACTGAAACTTACTGTGCAGGCTGTGCTTGCAAATTACACTTGCTCAACTCGGCTTGGTTGAGCATAGGGACAATTATATCTTTTCTGCCAAAGAGCAGCCTCACTCTCTGCGATGGCCAAGAAGGCTTGGGGACAGGAAACGTTTATGAGTAAAACACCTTTTTGAAGCTAGATGAATACTGATTTATTCTGAATCTTACCATTCTTTTTATATTAAGTTTTGATAAACTAATCGTAATCAAAATTGCAAATACATCAAACAATGTGATTTTTCTAACAAGTGCGGGAAGAAAAATTTCCGGAATGAGGGTGCTAAGCGCCCTTTCTGAAAGCGTTAGGAACTACATATATTTTTTCTACGAGCGTACTAAATGTGATGTTACGAAAAATGTGAGTTAAATAAAATGCGACTGTGCGGAAGGTAAAATTGAAAATGTATTAAACAGTATTTATAAAAAAAAAGGTAAAGGTAAAGTTGTATCAACAATACAAACAAATCATTATCACAGGGATTATTTCAAACTCTTCCCGCACTAGTGTGGGAAGAAAGTCGTCCCGCACAGCAAATAGTGCGGGAAGATCCATTTCCTGCACGCTTTAGAAAAAAATTAATTACATGCTGAAAATACAAACTATGATGTTTTGAATATTTTTATACTAGTGAAATTATATTATTTGTTCAGTAAATCGTGTTTTTAAAAACTATTTATTTTATTAAAAACTGAGAAGTTACAACAAAAAATACTAGACTCTAAATTGCTGCGGCGAAAGCCCGAAAACAAAAGAATCTTGATTCTAATTGCTATAGTGACAACTAAAAACAAAATAATGAGGAGAGAAGCACCGCGCAGCGTATTTATATTAAAATACTGCCGAGCTTGCATTTGTGTGGGCGAAACCTTGATATGACGGTAGTTTTCCAGGCTGATATCCCTTACTCAGCATCTTTATAATATCCTGGGCTTTTACAGTAGCGTATGCTTATATTTAACATTGAAAAGGAGAATTATCTGTGTAATAATAACATAGGGTTTTATAATATAACTCTTCCCTCTTTAAGAGCGTATTATCTCCACAATGCACAGGTAGCATTGCGGGGTCGGGTGAAGGGAAGGGGTAGCAGAGGGCGGAGAGTAACACATTCCCACTACTCTGATTTTGGTTGATATTGGGTTGGGCGACCGAAGACGGACTAAGGATATTTTGGCGAAATAAAATTATTTTTTCTACTACCGTGCGTAAAGTAATCACCTTAGGCACTATTCAGAAGACGTAAAAGGACCTCGCACATTTCTTATGGAAAATGGCTTTCGGCTAAATTTTCTGAAAAATTGAGATAATGTAGTTCTCGATGTCCTGATTAAAAGTTCTCATGGGCACAACTCAATCCTATGATCAGTTTTTGAGTTATAGGTTGTCAAAATTGGCTTTTTTAGACTTCGAGATATTGATTTTTTTTCAACATATTTGTTTATATTTCCTCGATTAGCACATTTAAATTAAAAGTTTCTACTCTAAGTTTTAGGCGTTTTGGTGTCTTTTTAAAATGTGGTATAAAAGTTCCTACAGCGTCTTACACAAAATGGTGGCGGCAAAGAAATGTCAATTTAGAAAAAGTCGCAAATAACTAAATTCGATCAATTGTGTAGAATACAAAAACGAACGGCTAGATTTTGCCCTATTTTCAATATGTTGTTATCAAAAGTATACTTAAGAATACCTACTATAGTTTTGGATCCAAAATATTATACCAGGTGTTCATTTTGTGCCAGGGCCCCGGTGTTGACTAATGGGCGTTTGCACCAACCATTTTAGAATGGTCTGTGCAAACGACCATAGTGTACAAAATATAAAATAGTCTGATGACTGACGAGTGTGTGACCTTTTTTAAAACTGTATAAATAATCATTCTCACAGATATAGCGTAGGAATAAAGAGTGCCATCCCATCAGACTTATGCCTATATACATAAACTAATAACCCTAATAATTTTTTCCACTGCCTCACTTTGGGCAATTAATCGAGAATCATATATGGTAAAGCACCGGCGTATACAAGGGGGGGTAATGGGGGTAATTACCCCCCCCCCCCCAAGATCGTTCCGATGGACGAAAAATATGTAACCTACACCATACAAATAGATATATTTTTTATATTTTTATTTTTCAACAACTGGCCCTAACTTGTTCGCTAGTTTGCACAGTGTCCGCACTGCCCGCATGCCATTTATAGCAAATTCTATTGAAAAAATAGTGCACACTGAGTGTATTTATGTCTTTCTCTACTAGTTTGCATAAGAAAGAGATAAAAATAATTTTTTCCTACGAGCGTGCGCAAAGTAGTACTTTTCCGCACGCATTTCGGTTCTCAAAGTTGCACTTTTCCGCACTCAGTGCGGATACAGGCCTTATCCGCACTGAGTGCCGAAAAGTAAAAATAATTGTCAAGCAACAATAAGTACACCTGTCGACTTTGACACATGATGACAAATTTTTCCTCTGTTCCTGTTCCAGCTAACATCTATACCTACAAACACCAAATTTAATTAACTTCAACACATTGTCAGATTTGTTTTCTATATATATGCATCTACAAACTATCTCATCAAATTTATAGCATTTTCCATTTGTCGAAACAGGGCAAAAAAATGTATCCTTATCCTTAAATGTTACATGCTTTTAGAAAAAGATGCGGATGCACTCAGTGCGGCACTGATGACAAATGGAAATCGCCATTAAACGCTTTAAGATGAAGAGCTCTGACGATGATTTTCTGTTATATTTTTTTTTTGTTATGTAATTTTTTGATAAATGCATAGGTTCCCTTCAAGTTAATTAAAAATAATTAAACAAATTATCGTTTTTTTTTTTAAATTTTTGTTGTTACCTACCTGATATGAAGCTCGTAGGAAAAATTTTGTTCCTAACACGTGCGCAAAGTGTCTTTTCCGCACGCAAACACGTATCCGAACTCCGCTTCGCGTCGTTCGTATAACTGTGTTTGCGTGCGGAAAAGTAACACTTTGCGCACTTGTTAGGAAAATAACTATTTTGCATTGGTTCTACCAATAGAATTCGCTATAATTAAAAAGTTTTTGGGGAATCACAGAGTTCGGTTTCGTTATTTATTGGCAGTACTGGATATATTTACTTAACAAGTGCGGAAAATTAATTTTTCCGCACGAGTTTGTCGTTGTCGTTCACCGAAAGTCGCGTAGCGGAATTCGGTAAATCAGCCGAGTGTGGAAAACAGATTTACCGCAAGTGTTAGGTAGTTAGGTACAATAGTTTTTCTACAGTATAATAAATAAGTACACCTACATTTGTAGTGATTTATTGATTTTGTTTTGACAGCCGTGCGAAAAAGGTTTTTTCGCACCGATATCCGTGCGGAAAAAAATTCGCCGTACCGCGCGCGAAAATCGATTTTCCGCACTGTTAAACAAATCGGATTTGCAAATGCAATTTTCGTCACTCTCGTAGAAAAAAAAAATGTTTTGGAGGTTCAAAATAAACTTTTTTGGGCATGGCTCCCGGAAAAAAAAATGTCGCCTCCGGCGCGCGGGCTGGCTTGGGCTGATTGCGCCTCCCAGACGCATGGGCTGGATACGCTGGTGTGGTAAAGTATTGGGAAAACTGCTGGTTGTGTTGTATTTCAACTACCTACCGAAGTTCGGCATCCAATATATCTAGTATGAGGCAGTAGATGGATAGCGAGTTCTTGGTGCCTCGCCCGGTTGTCTTCTTGTTAGAATATTTGATTTCAGGACTAGGAGTTCTACTCGCGAGATACTATTTCTATTGTACTACTCGAGAGAAAATATTGTTGGTTTATCAAAAGTAATTCATTGAACATACATTTTGCTTCCCAAATATAAAGCTTCATAGCTTTTAATATACTAAAGTACTTTTGATAAAAAATATCGGAACTAATGTAGTGTTTCACCTTTTCACACATTTACTTGAAGTAGAACTAAAAAACAGTAAAACTGGGGTCAGTTTTATGAAGAAGCGTAAACTCTTCCACAGCTTACTTCTATTGATGCACGGTAAACTTAAAACAATGAATAATGCCCATTGAAACAGCATTTGAACTTGAAACCCGCTTGCAGTCGGCATTTACCATCTACACCGGGGCCCTGGTACAAAATGAACACCTGGTATAACATTCTGGATCCAAAACTATAGTAGGTATTCTTAAGTATATTTTTGATAACAACATATTGAAAATAGGGCAAAATCTAGCCGTTCGTTTTTGTATTCTACACAATTGATCGAGTTTAGTTATTCGCGTCTTTTTCCAAATTGACATTTCTTTGCCGCCTCCATTTTGTGTAAGACGCTGTAGGAACTTTTATACCACATTTTAGGAAGACACCAAAACGCCTAAAACTTAGAGTAGAAACTTTTAATTTAAATGTGCTAATGGAGGAAATATAAACAAATATGTTGAAAAAAAATCAATATCTCGAAGTCTAAAAAAGCCAATTTTGATAACTCATAACTCAAAAACTGATCATAGGATTGAGTTGTGCCCATGAGAATTTTTAATCAGGACATCGAGAACTACATTATCTCAATTTTTCAGAAAATTTAGCCGAAAGCCATTTTCCATAAGAAATGTGCGAGGTCCTTTCTCTTCACACACTAGTGTGTAAAGTAATGCCAATGACAGATGTCAACACTGTCAAATTACTGTTTTTCTGGTAAATTACTTCACGCACTAGTGTGTAAAGTGAGAGAAGAATTTGTCAAAATTTATTTTCTTACACATATTTGATTGATAGTAGAAAAAAATTTGTATGCAATA